ACTTTCGCACAGAGTTAAGGTTAGTTGCGTATCCTTTACAGGACGTTGCACAACCAACCAGAGCAGCCCCTGGCTGTTGTGAAGTTTTACTAGTCAAATTTACGTCCAGTAGTTTGCCATTGCTTACTGGACGGTTGGCCCCCTGATACCACTATAAAAACCAACGCAAGGCGCATGGCCCGCAGCTGGGATTGACCACCCCGGCATTACGAAGTGTTCGTATCGACTTAGCCACAGAGCCGAGTTCGCACAGAGTAGATGTACATTTAGTTGCTAAGTAGATTTGTAGTAGCTACATAATGAGACCGTCAGACATACTGACAGATAAATAGATAGGCTGACAAAGAGACAATCATGCAGACAAACAGACAGACAAACGGACTGACTGGCTGTTAAACTACATAATGCATGACGTGAAATAATCCGGAAATTAAAATTGTTAGTTCTCATTAATATGGATATCTAGGGTTAGGATAACAACCGAGTGAGCCAAGATGAAAACACGAGAACAACATGTTTTTACCGGAGCACTACGGGATAATACAATCGAGTTTGGTGGAAAACATCATTGGAGCAGTCAAGAGAAACCAGGCACGTATCGCGTGTGTCAGTATGAGACCATATTTCTAATTCAATAAAACATATTTATTGATTTTGGCTCGGAAATGGATTCCAATTTCTGGTTTCCAATCTGGGGCATAATGGAAATTACCTTAATCCAGTGACAGGGAAATAACCGTCAATTTACAAACGCTGGGACGACGGGTTGCGTTAGATAGTCGGGACAGAGGTAAGTAGTAGGTGTCGTGGGAAAGTGACGTACGCAAAGTGGATTTGTCGGCTAGTCAGTTGTAGACAATAGGGATGCGCAGAGGTTAAAGCCGTTGTATTCAACTTATAACTGATGTATCCGGCAAGAGCCAACGATACACACAGACTGCGGGTTAATGTCCTTATTTCTTCATGTGAGTGAACCATACTGGCAGCGAGGCTAGTGCACTTACTGACCAGCATAGTGACCGACAACTTGTCAAACTCTTCAGTAGGTAAAAGTAAAGAACTCTTTTGAGGGATTTGGGCACATTTCTATATTCTTACATTTGTATAGCCCAGTCATTATACATGTGGCCACTAGCGCCAACTGTACTGCTGAGATCATCACCTGATACTTAGGTTTGGTTAAGATAAAACAAAATCATTTTTTTAAAATACCTGCCCCTGTATCTGTAAAATTCTACAAGGATTTAGAGCAGTACAAAAGCTCAATTACAGCAACATGGTGGATGAGTTAATACAATGTTATATAGCTGCATTCTGGATATCTCTTGGCGCCGTTGGCCTCTTCAGTGTTCAATGTAGAGTTGCTGATAGTGCCAGCGGGAAATTAACTGAAGGTCCATTTTTTCCCCCCAACTCTGAGTATCGACCAGATCCTCAGAAAACGGCTGAGTTATTGTCATCAGGTATGTAGGTTCTGTTGCCATGTCTACCTGATCTCAGAGGATCTCACCACCGCCGCCTTTTCATACAGTAGATAGTTGGTCAATGAAACGATGTCAACCAGACTATCAGTCTGCTCATTTCCCCGCAGACCTTCATATACTGGACAGTACATGTATTATATGTTGCTATAACGATTAATGTCAAGATATGCAAATCGCTCTACGAGTAAATGCAAGTACGAGTAACATGCGTGATATTATTTCCCACGATTATCACTACGGTACATGATTCTATACAGAATGCATAATATTAGACCATTCAATGACTGCATTTCATATTTGCGTGCTAGCTTGTTCACACCCACGAGAACTCCGGTTGTGTATCCGAAAAAAGCGTCACGTGCAAGATAGTCGCACAATGGGACCCAACTGATTCACAGAAAGATGACGATTGTCACAAAATAGCTGAAATCTCACCAACTGCTTTCGGGTGAAAGCGCAAGAGAAACTCCTTTATCAAAAACATTGCTAAACGTATTTTGAAAACATCTTTATAGACACAAATTTGATGCTAGATTTAATCTCCTGCACTACAAAATCTATCAAATCAATGGTTGTACTTAATTTTTTATTCTCAATAGAGTGTTTTTAAAAAAAATCCGTCATTCCAATCTACTTTTTGTTTTCTGAATGTATCACATTTCTGAACATTTCATTGCATTGACCTACATCTTACGAACGCTTTGGTCAGGTCTTGATCAGATATGTCTGAACTACCGTATAAGATTAGCTGGTACTGCCTGCCTTCTGTTAAAGGGCTGAGGAGGGCCTTGGGGAGGATACTAGCCTTATCCTGGGAAGAGGAAATGCAACCGGAAAACTGTATGTTGTGGCAGGACAGACCAATCCCTTAGCCTTGGCAGACAGCTAGTCTAGGAGAGAAGGTCCGACATGGGGACAGAAAGATCATTGCTCTTTTGATCCGGCAGCTTCTGCTGCCTGCTTTATTCCAAACGTACTGGTGTTACCTTTCCATCGGAGAAAACAAAGCAGGTCGAGAGAGGCAGAGATCATGATGCATTGACAACATATGGTCTCTACAATACTGCCCAGGCTTTATGATATCGAGAGCAGGAATTTTATTCCTGGACTTAATTGGCCTCGGACACAACTCGAGAGGCAGCAGTTATGGGTTATAGACCCTTGTCAATTTGGCGTAGATCAGGGCGCCAGGGTTTGCCTCTTACACAAGACAACAAACACTGAGGACGTCACGCCCTATAGTGTCGTACGTGAAATGTTTCTTCGACCTGCCTTCCCCCATCAGTATGCAGCAGGGAAGACGATCACTGTCGTGATGCCTAGGACATTCCATCGACATATGGACATGAGCAGAGGTGATACCAAGGTCAGGTCAATAGCACTGTCTTTGTCCCCTGGTCAGCTCGCCAGTCTCGTGACACTGCCATTGTTGATGTATACAAGGTTGGTGGATTCAAGTACATGTTCGAGATCCCCTCCATTAGTTTTGAAGAAACATTTCCCCATAACTTGCTTTAAGCATTTAACGCTCCACAGAAAATGGTGTTCTCTTCTTGAGAGATAATCTAATTCAAACACAACCATTTCTAGGAATCTACTCGTCCATTACATGTATACATATTCACTAATAAGAACGAATGCTCAGAATAAACCATAATCGCTTGAAGCTGTAGCTCGCCACTGTCCCATCAAGACATGTCTACCTCGGACGCCCTTATGATGTCGCGTACATGCATGTCCAGTTCCATAATGGGGCATGTTGTAATAACAGTGGTATTCAGATATGCATAGCACTCCATCACCAAGGCGCATCTCCTGCAGGACCGCGATATCAGATCCGTACACAAGGTAATCGCTCTTCGTTTTCTGATGCTTGCACATTTCCGGTATAAAATTCGAAGGTTGCTGAGGCCTAATATGAGCCGTGTTATTCTACATTTACCCTTTCTGCAGCGCCGTCCTCTCTTACCTCTGCGGGTCTTACTTATCTGGTCAAAACCAGGAGTTTTAGTGAAATGTGACTAAAAAGCTTAACGAAATGGCGAAGCAGAAAAAGGTGAAAAAAAAAAAAAACTTTTCGGCCGGCAGCCTTTTTCAAACATAAAGTGAACTACACAAATGTAGTCACAGCCAACACACTGTCACGCCATGATGACTAGTAATAGGTCAAATCCGCTGCACGCTGTTGAAAATATTTTACAAGATGGTTTTAGCTCAGATGCACGAAACCCCGCAGCACCAGCAACATCTTGAAAACATAGACTTCCTTTGTTATTTCTGCATCGCACTAACGATAAACAATGAACGAATAACATTCTCGTTATGTATTAGAAGTGGCGGTTAGAAAACACAACAATAACCGCTGCCATCTTGCCCCGGAAATCTGTGGTGCTCTGTATAAGCTCTGCTAATGATATTCCTCCATCCGCACCCCCCCTCAATCCACGTCGTTATAAACTGCCAATTACTGCCATTATTATAACACTTTTCACAACCTCCTTATACATGCCATTATTATTTATTTATGTTTCTATGTTTACGACTTTTGCTGCTGAATGTTTCCAGTCATCACGAAGTTCTCTTATGCCTTTCGCCACATCACATGACTAAACAACATTGCCTGGATGTTATTCTCAAGAACGGTTGGTTAAAACGAAACAAAAACAACAAAATCTTTCTTGTAATTTCCGGAGAGGTGTACAAGAATCCCACAGTGGAAGAGACTACAGCGCCTATACGTAATATTTACAAAGATAGCAATGCTTGCACTGTATGCAACCTACATTATGTAAAGGGCACTGTATGCAACCTACATTATGTAAAGGGCACTGTATGCAACCTACATTATGTAAAGGGCACATAGTAAAAACAAATAGAATGTTCTCTTGTTAGTTATTTTTCCCTAGTGAATTCTGAATCAGCAGGGTCGTGTGAGATATTCGTCAAAAGCCTCTTCACTGCCTCTAAACTCTGTCTAATTTGGAGATTCACAACAATGTGGTTAGAAAGCCTGCTTACATTTGCCTACTGAACATTCAAAGCTGCACCTCAAAATGTCAGAGGATGGGTGAAACACAACATTGTAGAAACACTTTTGAGTCCGAGTGTCTATCAGTACCGGTAGACATGTCTGCATCTAAGCAGAGCAGAGCAGTTACCTGTTGTGACAGTCGGAAACTTCTGTACAAGACAGGATGTAACATGTCCCGGGTTATTGTCTAATGTAAAAGTATATCGTCACATTGCTTCATGTTTCAGACACGATCAGAAACAGAAGAAGACAATAGCCGTTTCGTGAATCTTTATTTGACAGGGAATGTCATCGTTATATATATATATATATATATGTATATAACGATGACATTCCTTGTCAAATAAAGATTCAAGAAACGGCTATATATATATATATATGTGTGTGTGTGTGTGTGTGTGTGTGTGTGTGTGTGTGTGTGTGTGTGTGTGTGATGGAGAATTGTGATGACAAGTGCGTTGATGGTCTAAAGCACAACTTCCCACCTTGAATATAGAAGTCTTAGGATCCATATCCAAAAGCGAGTAATCAGCATTTCTGTCTCCATTGTCATCAATACTCACGGTCCCAGTGATACCTGTCGATGGACAAACACACACACACAAAGGTTTGATGTCTTGAAGATACAACAATGAACAGGACTCAACGTTTTGTGACTGTAAAATCAAGCAATGGTAGTATAAGAAAGTAGTGATTAGTTAATATCAGAATTTCAAACAACACATAACAAAACTATTGTACTATTGACAATAAAGGGATGAGAAAAGTGTGTGTGTGTGTATGTATGTTTGTGTGTGTATGTGTGAGTGGGTGTGTATGTGTGTGTGTATGTGTTAAATGTCTCTTGGCAGAATTGTTTTTTCCCACCACTGGGATTATAAACTATGAAAATAATCAACTGGAACCTGCGAAGAATGAGAGAAAGAATAGTAGAAAAAGGAGGTCAAAATCAGAAACATGGAGTATTGAGTGACAACAAATTCCAGGATAAAGAAAAGTAAAAAAAAAAAAAAAAAAAAGACTTTGGCACATACTGAGGACACATACAAGGAAAACCTGCTCACAGTATTATTAGAATGTGTACGAAATGTAACCCACAAGGCCAAAGGAATATACCTCAGATAACAACAGAAATGGAACAATGGATTAGAGCGTGAGGTGAAACAGGTTAAAAGGGTGAGATGCATGCAATGGCTAAGGATAGGAGGACATGATGCGAGGTGGTCGAGGGCTTATGTTTTACGAGGGGGTGGGCGTGTAGAGGGTAGGAGAAGAAATCAGAATGAAAGCCAGATAATGGTGAATTTAGAAACGGCAGTTGTGACCGCCAACAACAACAATGAACTACTACATGGTGACGTCATCTGTACACACCAGTAAAGGTCCGGTTCCACATCCTTCTGGTTATCTCCGACCCATTGGAGATGGACACGTTGGCCGCCAACAATAACATTGAACTACTACATGGTGACGTCATCTGTACATACCAGTAAAGGTCCTGTTCCACATCCTTCTGGTTATCTCCGACCCATTGGAGATGGACACGTTGGCCGCCAACAACAACATTGAACTACTAGATGGTGACGTCATCTGTACACACCAGTAAAGGTCCGGTTCCACATCCTTCTGGTTATCTCCGACCCATTGGAGATGGACACGTTGGCCGCCAACAATAACATTGAACTACTACATGGTGACGTCATCTGTACATACCAGTAAAGGTCCGGTTCCACATCCTTCTGGTTATCTCCGACCCATTGGAGATGGACACGTTGGCCGCCAAACTCTCGTTGAGAGCTATTGCGTAGAGAATAACTGCGTCATGGAATGCTCCAACAAAACTGTTCACCTGTACAAGTAGGGATTGTGGCACAAGATATGTTATGTGTAAACACGGGGCCAATAATAGCATTTATATCTCTTTACAATATACATTGGGTTAGCGGGGTAGGGGTATCACATGTCAAAGGAGTTGTAAGACGCCTCCTCTCCTCCGTTAGTCTACGGGATACCCTTGGGCAAGTCGAGTACCCGTTTAGCCTCCCAGTCAGGGTTTCGTGAAGCCATGGAGGCATGTGGTGGATGGAATGTGAGAGCAGCCAATAGATTGTAGTTGGTTATGGTCATGCACTCTGTGGCGATAGACAGATGATCTCATCAACAGGGACAATGGCTATGGCCACTGACTAGTACAATCACTGCCCAGAAGGATCGAAATGGCAAACTACCTTCTGCAAAACTTACAAAGAAGCCATGGCAGCCATGAAAGAAAACATAATAAGAAAGATATCTGGTGGCGTTATCCCCAGGCCCAGTCGATCAGATAACACTGAAGAAGAGTGTAATACAGGGACCAGTACTAGCAACCGTGATGACGGAGTTAAGGGGGTAGTTCTAGCAGAGAATCTCGAAAAAATATGATTTTTGAATTTCGAAACAAATTTGGTATCAAATTAAAGATTAATAAATGTCCTACACGTTTCTGTATACATTTTTAGAATCGGATAAGTAGTATCCGAGTTATGATGGCTCAAAGATGGTCAGGTCTTTCTGGTATTGGAAGAAAAAAAATCAGAAATTTGTGTTTTCACACATACACATGTATTTAGCGACAATGCAAGCCTCCCTAACAGTTTTCTTACAATGAACGATCCTTGTACGGAACAATCAAAATGGCTGCCTTTGTAGAAGCGTGTTTACATTTTGTTTGGTCTGAAATAATTTGTACAAGTGATATTCTAAGCAATGTCAAGTGATAAAAAGTATTGTAAACATTCAAGGAAGTTAAAGTTTCTTTGGAATAGATTTATAAGGGCTACAAAGAGATGCAGAGAATTAGTTTTATATCATACTATTGAGAACGACAAACATGTAAACATAAACAATAACATTGACATTCCTACAAGTAATCTGTGGATATGTTAATTGTAATGTTGTAGTAATAATAATAGTAGAACCAGTACCAAAGTGCCACGCCCACTCACAGTCGGTCATCAATAAAAATCAACGACCTGTATGGCATTGATGATGATCCAGGATACAGATTTAGAAGAATGTGATAAGGCAAATCCTAAATGTGACAGTACTGACAGGGAAGGGTACAGGATTGCTGACCTGGAAATTCTATGTCACCAGATTTCATCACAGCTGGTTTGTGTCTTTTGTTACAACCAAGTCAGACTTACTGACAATGAAAGACAAGGACTTGGTAGTCACTTTGAATTTGTAAGCAGCAACCACAATTGTAAAAGACAGACCATTTATCATTCCAACTGTCAAATAAGTGTCAACTACAGCAGCAGCTTACAAGTACACTCAGTCAACAAGCAAGCTGTTTTTGCTATGTGCTGTGCACGAAGTGACTGTTCGGACTTGCAAACATTTCGGGGAATAATGAATTTTCTGCCGCCTGTCCTGAAGTACACACATGAACTAATAAATGAAGGATATAAAGTGCTTGGAGATGGTGACACAGACAGCTTCGAAACAGTTTTTGATTCAAAGCCATACAGTGACACGCCTGTTATGAAGATAGAATGTGTCGGGCACGTGCAAAAAAGAATAGGTACCCGACTACGCAATATAAATAATTTTGTGGGGAAGGGAAAGAACCTGTCCGATAGGAAGAATATTGGTGGAAATGAAAGGCTTACGGACACACAAAGTGACTCTATTCAGAAATATTATGGGAATGCAATCAGAGGTAATAAAAATGACTTGAAAGAAATGCGAGAAGCTGTTTGGACAATATATTTTCACAAACTCTCCACGGATCAAATGCCTGTTCACAATCTCTGCAAAATTATTTGGTGCCCAAATAACATCGCTATTGCTACCAACACAGAAAAGGATTATAAACATAAAAATTCCCTGCCGGCAGCAGTTATGGATGTCATCAAGCCAGTTTTCATAGATCTCTCAAACCCTGACCTGTTGAGAAAATTTCTAGATTGCTACACCCAGAACGCTAACGAATTAATCAACAGCACAGTTTGGCAACATTGCCCCAAACACAAGTACCATGGATAAGTAGCTGTTAATATTGCAGTTGGCATTTCAGTACTCATTTTCAATGATGGAGCAAAAACCCTAGAAGTGCCCGTTGTGGCAATGCAACTATTATGTGGATGTTTCACGTCAGAATTGTTCATCTCTACTGACACGTTACGGCTGAAAAACTCTCAGAAGAAAGCGACAGAAGCATCATTGGAAGCGAAAAGTGCAAGGAGGGGGAAGCTACTTGGAATAAAGGAGGTACAAGATCAATCCGAAGGCTACCCTTATTTGACAGGGAGTCACTGAGGTAAAAATTTAGAAAATTGAAAAAAAAAAATTAACGCCGTTTGTTGTAAAATTTTACATTTTTTGTCACTTATCCTGGTATAACTTTCTCAGATTTTAACTAATCTGCATTAAATTTTGCATGCTTGTTCACATTATAACTGGCTGTAGCCTATTCTAAGGGAATTTTAATATCATGATTGTGTTCATTTTTATGTAATTTCAAATTTGTAATTTTTTACACACAAAAAGAGGAAAATTTCAGGTAGCATTACATAAAATCTTTTAAATGTGTACTGTTTTCCATAGTCCGGGCTATACTCACACCATTTTTGTATGTGCAGTTTAATTTGGAAGGAATTTGGCTGCACCATTTCCCAAAAACTATTTCCAAAGTAACATCTATATTTTGCATATTTAAAAACTAAATTTTTCACTTAAAAAAATTATTATCTCACATGTATATATTCAATTACAAAGATGTTTGTTTTATATGAAAGCCTTACCAAATGGTCATTATGTCTAAAAATTTGAGAGTCATATCTTTAAAATTGAATTTGTTATGATTTTTTTTCCAACGCCACTGATTCCCTGCTAGAACTGCCGCCAGACAGTGTTACCAGGGAAATCCACTGTGTCAGAATAAAAAGGAGAGTGAGAATAGGAGCGTGGAATGTGAGAAGTTTGTATGAGGGAAGGCTTAACGTAGTATGTGATGAGATTAAGAGGTTTGTATGAGGGAAGGCTTAACGTAGTATGTGATGCGATTGAGAGGTTTGTATGAGGGAAGGCTTAACGTAGTATGTGATGAGATTTAGAGGTTTGTATGAGGGAAGGCTTAAAGTAGTAGGTGATGAGATTGAGAGGTTTGTATGAGGGAAGGCTTAACGTAGTATGTGATGACATTGAGAGGTTTGTATGAGGCAAGGCTTAAAGTAGTATGTGATGAGATTGAGAGGTTTGTATGAGGGAAGGCTTAACGTAGTATGTGATGACATTGAGAGGTTTGTATGAGGGAAGGCTTAACGTAGTATGTGATGAGATTGAGAGGTTTTTATGAGGGAAGGCTTAAAGTAGTATGTGATGAGATTGAGAGGTTTTTATGAGGGAAGGCTTAAAGTGGTATGTGATGAGATTGAGAGGTTTGTAGGAGGGAAGGCTTCAAGTGGTATGTGATGAGATTGAGAGGTTTGTAGGAGGGAAGGCTTCAAGTGGTATGTGATGAGATTGAGAGGTTTTTATGAGGGAAGGCTTCAAGTGGTATGTGATGAGATTGAGAGGTTTTTATGAGGGAAGGCTTCAAGTGGTATGTGATGAGATTGAGAGGTTTTTATGAGGGAAGGCTTCAAGTGGTATGTGATGAGATTGAGAGGTTTGTAGGAGGGAAGGCTTCAAGTGGTATGTGATGAGATTGAGAGGTTTGTAGGAGGGAAGGCTTCAAGTGGTATGTGATGAGATTGAGAGGTTTGTATGAGGGAAGGCTTAAAGTAGTTTGTGATGTGATTGAGAGGTTGGAGATTCAAATTTTAGGAATTACTGGACGTTGCTGGAGAAGCAAAGGATATTTTAGAACTGAAAATGGAAGTCTGTTCATTTATTTTAGTAGAGATGCTAGAGGCCAGAGTGGAGTGGCATTGTGTTTAGATAAAACAACTTCAAGAACTTTGATAGGATACAACCCAGTTAGTGACATAATTCTCACTATCATACTGAAAGGCCGTCAAAAAAACGTTACTCTCATACAGATATACGCAACTAATTCAACCTAGAGGAGGATGCGATCAAACAATTTTACAGCACACTGCAAGACACATTAAATATGATTAGTCATGACAACATAACAATAAAAATGTGAGATTTTGATGCTAAAGTAGATATAGGAGGATCTGAAAATTAGGGATATGTTTTAGGAAAATTTGGATTAGAAAATAAAAATGATGACGCGACAAATTAATTGAATTTTGCATAAAAAATGAGTTAACGTTAACCAACACATTTTCTCAGACAACATCCAACAAGAATCTTCCCATGGAAGTCTCTGGGCAGTGTTATCAAAAATCAGACAGATTAAAATTTTAATACTAGAAGAAGCATAACATCTGCAAAAACCTTACCAAGTGCAGACTGTGATACAGATCATCCGTTATTAGAAGTAGATCTGAAATTAAAACTCAAAAAGCTCACACGAGGACCAGTGCCACTTCGTTTTGATCTCACAAAAATACGAGATGCCTACAACGTGGAAGTGAGGAATCGTTTTTGGGTCTTGATGTCTGTACATGAGGAAATGACATCTGATGGACTGGAAGAACAAGCTAGAGATATCTAGATAGCAGCAGCCAAAGATTTAATTCCGACCAGGACTAATCAACATAAGCCATGGATTACATCAGACACGTTAGAATTAATAAACAACGAAGGGAACTGAAACAGAAAGGAGATGAATCCGATAACAACAAGATAAAGTTTAAATTTTAACCCGAGAAATAAGAAGAGCACAAAAAAGGAAAAAAAAAAAAAAAAAAAAACCAATATATATGCATGATTGTTGTATTAAAATAGAGTAAT